TAGCATAAAATGGCTTCTGCAAAGAATCACAGATCAATGAAGAAACTGGAACATTCCCCTTTAAATTTCCTCTGATCTTGGTAACTTCAGGTAAAGTTCTCTCACAGTACAGTCTTCTTGTGTGTGGAGTGGTGTCATAATCCAAAAGAATTATTCTTCTTACAGATAATGAGTTTTCCCATATCATAGAGTCTTGGGCTTTCTTTTTCTTTAGCCTGGTAATCTTATGGTTTTGTATTTGCATAGTTAAATAGCTGTGGTTTTGTGTGGAATTAATTTTGGGGCATTATTTCATCATTTACATCAATCCTTACAATATTTTTTTGTATGAGTTTTCAAACCATTATGATTTAAAATTAGATATCTACCAAATATTAAAAGAGCTATATATTTATTACTTAAGTGTTCTGTATAATTATTTGGTTGGGTACTGTTTCTAAAAATAATTACTATGTATTGAAGCCATGTTTCTAACACAAGTCCTCAAGTGGCAGAGACTGGAAGTATAGTGGCAGAATACAGGGACAATATAACTATACATATGGAAACTTCTTCAGATTTTTACCCCTATATTATTATCTCTACATGACATTGTATCTTTATGATGCAGAAATTATTTTCTTTGTAGGAAATGAAAATTTGTCCATATTCTGTGGTGATGGCACTGTGGTGTTTTCTCTGGGCCAGTTGTAAAGTCCTCAGAAGAGAAGCTGATCATTGCTCTGTGACTTGCCCAGAGCCTCAGAAGGTTAAAGCAACTCTAATACTTATAAGCAGCCATTTGACAGTGAAGAAATGCAGACTTTCCATCGGAATCTGAACTTGGCTTTCTACTTTGTGATTAAAGTACTACTTCTACATAAAATATTTTAAAAGCATTATAGTAGGGTATGTGGGCTCAACTAATCATTTGACTATGAATCTTCTGAAGCAATCTTTGAAATACGGTTCTTTCTTTGTCATTTGTTTGTGACAAAATAAACCATACAAGTTCATCTTCACATTTTATATTAAATCTTTTTTTTTTTTTTTTTTTTTTTTTTTTTTAGTTAGGGAGTCCTGCTTCTCCCAGAAGAGTCTGGACTGCAGGCCTCCGATCTCGCTCACTGCAACCTACCCCCTCTCTCTAGTTCAGGGCATTCTCTGCCCTGCCTTCATGAGAGCTGGATTACATCTGCTACCATGCAGAGCTAATTTTTTTGTTTAGTGCTTCAGTAGGGACTATTGTCACCAGTCACTGCCTCGGCTAATTTTGTTATGGTATTTTTGGGTAGAGAGAGATTCTGCACTACGCCATTGCAGAGTTATCCAACTTCTCTGACTCATGATCCATCTTTCCACCTCCCAAAGTGCGAGACAGGCGCAACCAGCCAGCCGCCAAGATTAAACTGAGACCCAGCACCGCTACTCAAAAAAAAAAAAAAAAAAATCAAACAAAACAAATAAAAATAGCTGCTAAAGTAACTACACAGTCAGCGTGAAGGGGAAATGATACACAAAGTAGTAAAAATTATGCCTAAGAATCTCTCTCAACATATCTTATTGTATAAGAATTCGTCTCAATGTACTTGGGCATGAAAGCAGGTAGTTTAGATTAATGTAGTTCTTATTATGAATTAAACTTTTCACTATTAAAAATTGCAATTTTTGATAGGTTCATAATCAGTTGAATTTTACTTTTTTATTGCAATTTAGATTTCACTGTTTAGGGGTAGCACCTATTATACATTCATCCAAGGAGCTTTGAAATTTCAACACAATTTCAATTTCATAAACTCAATAAACAGCATATGCTAATTAGGATGGTAAATTTGTTTTGCTTATAAAATTATTCAAGTGACTATGTATTCTGCAGCCAAATGCAATATTTTCTTATAGGTTTCCATTTAAAAAGTATGTGACAGTAAAGGCATAAAGATGAACAAAATTCAACATTGAACATAAATTCTAAGTAATTTTATATTTTTTTCTTTTTAATTAAATATAAATTAATATATAAAATCAAGGAGCGTAGGAGGCGTGAAGAAAAAGCAGAAAGTAAAGAAACTAACTATCCAAAAACAAATAGCAAAATCTAAAGCAAACATTTCAGTGAAGAAAATAGTATGGAGCATAAGACTCATCCTCACGATTCTGATTACCTCCATCAAGTCCTTCCGCCAACATGTGGAATTGTGGTAGTTACGCCTTCAAGATGAGATGTTGGTGGGGGACACAGCCAAAACCACATCAGCGATGGATCTCCTGTTTTGGTTATGCAAATGCATTGTTAATAATCCTTTCTAATTTTAAGGTCTTGACTTTACATGCCAATATTAGTTGACACAGTTGCTTGCTAAAGGGAAATCTTGATTCATAACTGTCATTCTTTAAAAGTTGTGTAAGTAAATTTTGGTGGTGTATTAAAATCCAAATCCAGTATAGTGATAAGTAAGACTGTCTAACATCTTCTGCTCCAAATTAACTGTCTTTTGTAATTCCTGCCCTCAACTTCTTCTGTATCCATACACATTGGGATGCTCCTCATATGTCCATGACCTTCTTTGCCTTTCTTTCTCTTTTTTGTTCTTATTGTTGAAAACCCTCTTGGTCCGCACACTGCTTCAGGTGCAATCAAACTTTCATTTATATCATATGTTACCTGCCCGTTAAGTTTTTCTAATTATCTCATATAAAGAAGTACTTGTGTTTTTTCTCTGGAACTCTAAACATCCTGTATTATTCATGTGAGTCACATCAAAAGAGCTTCTCCAAAATATAGCGATTCAATGTATTATCAGCTAATTAGTGAGGGTCCACACAGGTAAATTGATGTAAAATATTTATTTTCCAAAACCAATTGGTGTAACTTTGGGGCTTTGTGTGGAATGACAGAAAGTGTGTGTATGTTTGTGTTTTGTGTGAATTAGAAACTTTAAAAAATCTTTGTGAAAGGGTGGGTTAATGTATGTGGCCAAGATGACTGACTGAGAGTAGGTAATGTGCATGATTCTCATAAAGAGAAACAGAAGAGGTGAGTAAACAGAACCCCTTCATCTGAAATAGCATATTTTTAGTGTTTATCCCATATTAAGTGTTTTCACTAATACAAGGCACACTTCTGAGATGTTGCAGATTTGGTTCTCGATCATACAATAACGCAAATATTGCAAATGAAGTGAGCCCCACAATTTGCTTTGGTTTCTAAGGCATAGAAAAGTATGCTTAGATAATGCTGTAGTGTATTCAGTCTGTGATAATATTAAGTCTACAAAGTGCATGCTTTAATTAAAAGACATTTAATTGCTAAAGAGTGCTAATGATCATCTGAATCTTCAGTGAGTGCAACTTTTCTTGACGGAGAGTCTTGCATCAATGTTGATGGTTGATGACTTATTATGGTGGTAGCTACAGAAGCTGGCATGGCTGTGGCAATATCCTAAAAATTAGACAACAATGGCATTTGGCCATACATTAACCTAGCCCTCACAAAAGATTTTTTTCAGCATTCAATGCTGTCAGATAAAGTATTTTACCCACAGAGGATCTTCTTTCAAAATTGAAATCAATCCTCTCAAACTCTAATACTGCTCTATAAAGTAAGTTTAAGTAATATTTCATATCTTCTGTTGTCATTCAACAATGTCTTATAGCATCTTCACTAGAGTAGAGATTCCATCTCAAGAAATAAGTTTCTTGTTTCTTCTGCTAAAGTAACCCTCATTTATTTGTTTTATCATGAGATTTCATCATTTCTAAGATCATTGGGTTCCACTTCTAATTATAGGTATCTGTCTTAGTTTATTATATTTGCAGTTACTTATTCCATTGAAGTTTTGTTATAGGACCAACAGGTTCATATGCTTACTGTCCAATAGTAGTCCAATGCACTGGAGACGTCAGGTTTGGCAGCAAAGAAGGAGTTTAATAATTGCAGGGCACTGAGCAAGGAGATGAGAAGAGAATCTCAAATCCAGCTCCTCAAGGAGTGCTGGACTGGAGGTTTTAAGGAGACTGGCCGGTGATGGACTGGAAAATTTGGGTAATTAATTAGTCAGGGTAATTGATTAACTGTAGAATAATAGGGACAAGATATCAGAACAAGAAATGACATTAGTTTGCTGAGTCAGTTCCTTGTGGGGTCCTCTAGATTACCTGGCATCAGTGAAGTCCCTCAGATTAGCTGGCATCAGTGAGGTCCTTCAGACCTGCTGAGTCAGTAGTTTTATCAGTGTGTTGACCTGAAGGAATACCTAGAAGGAAAGTTGATCATTTCATAATGTTTAAGCTAATATTATCTGCAGAAGAGACAAGAGGAACTATAATCTTGTAATAGGATCTGCATAATTATAGGACACAAATAACTACAAGGAAGTGAGTCAGAGAACAAGCTAACTTTAATGATTAATGCTGAATGTAGTCTAATATGTGTTTGATTTATTTTCTCTTTTTCTCTGCTTTATCTTTGATTACTCCTTTTCAAATAAAAGTTTATAAAGATAGTGTCATTCCTACACTCTCAATATCTTGCATGATGAAGTTGTAAGAATAACATGTATATGCTATATCATAAATGAACATTTAAAATGTTATATATAAAAAGAAACCACGCATGAAAGCCACTACATATTGTATGATTGCATGTATTAAAATCATCTTGCATTAGCAAACATATAGAGATAGAAATGCAATAGTAAATTACCCAGACAGGGGAAAATGCAGAAACTAGAGGTGGAGAGGAAAAAAGGCTAAAGGCTATAGGGCTTATTTTGGGAGATAAAAGGGCTCTCAAATTGATTCTGTGGTAGACACACAATTCTGTGAATTACTACTATGAAACATTAATTTACACATGTAATAATTTAAAAATTGTATGATATTTAAATTATATGTCAACAAGATATACAAAATATGTGGACCATGTTTAGTCATTTTATCTTTAGTTTTGTGTCAAATGGACTGCAGAAACATGACCTTTCACTGCTACAATTCTGGATACCTTCTAAAATATATTGCATAAGATGGATGGTATGTCCATACAAGATCCTTGATATTAGCTGAAGGATAGCACTCAGAAACATAAAAGGGAAATTAATCACATCCGTGTAAACAGTTCATTACCTCTCTTCATTTGTCTCTTGCCATCCACATGCTCGACTGTTGATTTAATGATATTGTAGGTACTTAAAGTATAAGGTTACATTTTAACTTATAATTTTACCTTTGGATATAACCATGAGAAATGACAGAAAGTAATGCTGGTGGAAAATAAGCATTGCATGTACCAGGATGTCTGGGTGAAATGACTTCAGTAATTTTGCTAATACAACTGAGCTTTTACTTTAGCCCTGGGAGCTGTGAAAGGTGTTGAAAGGCAGAGATAGCCATTGATGAATATGAAGACAATCCTGAAGAGCTTGTCCAGAGAGGTCATGAGGTGATCAATTGGCATCTTTCAGTTTCCATTCTTTTTGATCCCAACAACTCATCCACTCTAAATTGAAGTTTTTCCTACATCTTTACTTCAAACCTGAGTTTTGAGAATATAGTCACGCTAAGAGATTAAGAGATGGATAGAACTCAAAAGATACATTTTGGTTATATTTTTCACAAATGCAAGAAATCATGGAAGTTTGGTATGACATATTTAGAGACTTCTGTAAAGATGTGGTTTCAAATAAGAAATTAATGAAGCTATTAAATCTACAAGCGCCAAGGTTTGACGCCGCTTTGCAGATCCTATTTTTCCCTGTAGTGAGCTGCTGGCTGGAGCTATATTTAACATACCCCTTGTGTGTGTTGTGCCCCGTCTACCTGGCTGGTTGTTTTGAAAAGCATTGTGGGAGGATTTCTTTTCCTCCTCCTATGTGAGGTACCTGTTGTTATGTCAGAATTAAGTATCAAATGACTTATGGAGAGGGTAAAAATATGATCTATATGCTTTATCTTTGACTTTGTTTCCAAATGTATGACATGAAGAAGTGATCAGTTTTATAGTGAAGTTCTAGGTAAGTATTTTTTCAATCTGTAACTTATTGTGTCTTTGGCGGAGCTTACATAAAAGCCATAAAGCCAGGGTAGTGATTTTGGTCAGTGAATTTATAAAATAAAAAATAAAAAGACATATCTTATCAATCTCAAGTATTATAGAAAAGCTTAAATTACAGGGAAGGGCTGCCATAAAAACCCTGTGGCCTCACCACAGTACACCCAAGGAAATCATATAAACCTATGTATTAGTGCCCTTGTTTTAAGCAATTACATCTGTTTAACTATACAGTGGTTTTACATCTTAAAAAACAGTAAAACCCATCAAATAACATCTTACTGAATGCTTAGATTTGAACAATGTGAATAGTTACACACTTTCTACAACTAACAAAGGTAACTGTAGATTATTTTTTTCTTGTAGTCTGGTTTTATTTAGAAATTAAGATGTTCCCATGTGTTACTAAGGTTTTGTAATGATAGAGAGAAGGAATGTCTGTATCTCAGATGCATAAATCATTAAAGGTAATTTGAAATTTCTAATGTTTTTTATACTCTTCATTAAAGAATTGGAAACCATTCATTAAAGTCCAACTGATCTTGTTGAAGTGTGAAGGTTGTTATATCTACATAGTTTTTTTCAAACTATGTCTCTTTATTAAAAAAATATAAGACAGATTAAGGTTGAGTACAAATTTTTATTTCAATAATTTCTCAAAAATTTCTAGCTATAATTTACAAATATATTTACTTAAAGATAGTATTATTAAGATCTTAACTTGAATCTAAAAGAGTACAAGGGTTTCAGTCCATACTCACAACATAGTCCACAGTTCACTTGAAGAACCAAAGACAAAATAATTAGCTTAATGAATTGTGTAAACTAGACAATTTTTAGAAAATTATTTTTATGTGTACAGTGGAATTAATTGATCAACAGGAAGTCAAAGAGTTGTTTAAATGTCCATATGCTACTACTGAAGCTTAAAAGAAAAGAAATTGATGTTTAATTCTCTGCGCTATTTTAATAATTGTTTGTGATTGAGTATACTAGATGTGACATTAGAGATGTAACTTAACCTCACAATTACTTACTACTTTGCCTTTCTTATAAATATACATGGGCAAAATAAATAATACATTAAATTATGTCTATAGATGAATATATGTATATATTTTTCAAAGCACGTAGACATTTCTTTGCCTATATTTTTGCCTACATATTATAAACCCTTCAAAGAAATAACCTAATGTAATTATCTTGTGACATCCACCTTTTCTTTTTTATCCTGTCAGGAAGACCTACCACATTATCTGGAGACAATGGGGAAAGCAGACATATGGCTTATTCGAAACTCCTGGAATTTTCAGTTTCCACATCCACTCTTACCAAATGTTGATTTTATTGGAGGACTCCTCTGCAAACCTGCCAAACCCCTACCTAAGGTAAACATACTTTCATTGGTTTTATTCTGTTGGCTTTGAATTTTCAGTAGGATTGATTCTACGGTCTTCATTTAGAGTGTTTGACTTACACTGAAAGAAAGATGGGAAGTGGGTGGGGTAAAGCAGATACCAATTAGAAACTCACGTACATAGTGATACCATCACACGTATATGAGTTTTATGAGTACTACAAATAGAGGGGAATACTAAGGAGACTTCAAAAATAGAGTTGGTTAAATTAAAGTCTTCATTATTTAACACCTAAGAAGGTATTGATCATTCATTCAAATAATATTTACAAAGGGATTAGCACGAAACACAGGTAAGTGCAGAATTTTCAGAGAAAAAAATGGACACAGTTTCTGTCCCCACATACCTTACATTCTACTTGAAAAGATAGAATATGTGCAAGTAATAAAAATTATATAAAAACTATTACTTCAAGGAAAAACCCAATGTCAAGAAAGCATCAGTGGAGATAATAGAAAGTATACTGGAGTCACTGATTACTAAGATGAGAGCTGAACAATATGCAAGAATAAGTAAAAGAATGATGGGGAGAGACAGGCAAAAGAAGGAAAGCAGGTAAAGTGGTCAGGACAGTTCTCAAGTCCTCAGGTTTAGTTTGCAGGAAGAGACTAAGAATCAGATGATACTGAGAGGCAAATTAGAGCCAGATACATATTGGGAGTTGAAATATTTATTAAGCACATTGAAAGACTATGAAAAAGAGTTAAGACAGAAAGATATATGAAAAGATTCTCTACTTTACGAAGAGTTTTCAAGATATTCAATGATTAAATTGCAAGAGGGTCAGAATAAAGAGCCAACCCTTCAGGAAATTTTGCATGGATTCAGGTAGTAGATGATGGAAAAGTAGACTAGAATGTTGATAGAAATAATGATGCCTACATTTACAAAAATAGTGGCAACTTCCTGCTGTGTGGAAAAAATATTAACACAGACAAAACACTTGAAATGTCTCTGGCCTGTAGTTAGTTACTCATAAATATTATTAATTTTGCAATTATTGTTATTTTGTTATTTTGCTAATACTAGTAATTACTTAACATGCGCAGGTCACTGGAGATGTCATTCTTCATTTAATAGAGCAGATTTTTCAGTACATCAGAATTACATTCTCTTGCAAAGTCACAGCTGACAGGCACCTGTGTCATGCGCGTCCGTGTGAAGAGACCACCGAACAGTCTGTGTGAGCAACATGGCTGTTTATTTCACCTGGGTGCCGGCGGGCTGAGTCCGAAAAGAGGGTCAGCAAAGGGAGATAAGGGTGGGGTGTTTTATAGGATTTGGGTAGATAAAGGAAAATTACAGTCAAAGCGGGGGTGTTCTCTGGGAGGCAGGAGTGGGGGTCACAAGGTGCTCAATGGGGGAGATTTTGGAGCCAGGATGAGCCAGGAAAAGGAATTTCACAGGATAATATCATCGCTTAAGGCAAGGACCTGCCATTTTCACTTCTCTTCTGGGTTCCCTAACTTCCCACAACAATGAGTTAGTTGAAATTCTAAAATTCTCCCATAGGTAGTGAGGATCTTTACCAGTATTGCAGCTTAAAACACTTCCTCAATAAAATAAAAGTGTTCCTGTAATATTTGCATACAAACTCAGTTTCACTTGATCGTACTAAAGCATTTAAATCATTCTTCATTGAGACCCCAGGGGTTTACATATTACAGCATAAACATACCCTATGAAAGCAGATGATTTTTGCCATATGACAAGCAACTGATTAAAGCTTCCTGTGTCAACTTGTCTCAACATCATAGTTGCCTGACAGAGAAGCACAGAGATAATGAACAATGCATGTATAATAAAGACCAAATAATTTATACCACTTGTATCTGAATAGTGCCCTTAGTTTCAATACAAGAAAATTCTGTCAGCATATAAGATTATATTCTTTATGAAAGAACACAATAAATCCATATATTTTAAATTAATATCACACTTTTAAGACATATGTACAAAGCAAGTATTCTTTATCAAATTATTAAGTAATCTCTTAAAATATAATTTTTGTTCACATAAAGCTGATTTTTATTCCATTGTTAAAACTCAATATCTATGATGAATGCAAATTGCATGGACTTTATATGATAACTTTCTCAAGAGACAAAAGCTGGGGTAAGACTGATGAAAAATCTATGACACCCTACCCTACTCTTGAAAGATTTCCCCACTCACAATAAGGGAAACTGATAGTGTCAGTAGGAAGGGGAAGAGAGTAGGACTTGTAGAAAGACAAGAAAAAGGATGACTAGTAGTACAATAATGATAATTACTACTATTAGCTGTTGTTATCAACTTGCAGCAAGATTTGAATGCAAGTCAATGGTTGTGAAACCAATTCTTTGTTTATTATGTAAAATAATTGCTAACCCAGTCAGGTTGCTTTCATTTCAATTAAATATTAGATTCTCAGATAATTTCTATATAAGAGAATAAGGCACTTGACAAAATGTATCAGGTGTTTTAAAAATGAACATTGCCATGAGTTTTAAAATATATTCATGTGAAATCATACAGATAAAAAAATTAATCAAGGTGTACCTATTCAACATTATGGAAAATAGGCATAAAATTAACATTGGAAGTAGTCCAACACCTTAAATGAAGAAATGATTAAAAACTTACACTATGTGCATACAATAACATTACAATAATTTTATCAATGAAATATTCAACTACACTGTCAGCTGTAATACAAATAAAGGGAGTTAGAAAATGATAAAGGTAACAAGATGACAAGTTTTTGCAGGAGGAAAATATATACGCAGCAAGATTAACATTTTCTAAGTAAGTGTCACATGTATACATTGAGCTATATAAATAGGACAAAAGACATGATGAAAAAAATATATTTCATATAAATAATATCACAACAAAAATTTTAGAAAAATTTTACTTAAAAAAATTTTCATGCTTTTATAAAATTTCTGACATTAATCTTAAATTATTTTTATTACATTATCACAGAAGAAGAAACAACCAGTCCATATCAGTGATGAATCTGTAAACAGAGGTTAGGTTCCTTCAACATTGCATGGATAAACAGGGCTCTTGGCATCAAGCTAGTGAGGTGAAACACCGAACACCAGTTACAGTAAATATGGCTACAGTCAACTGCAATCACACACAATACCTAGATGCCCCAAGTATTACCTGGAAGAGCAGTACAATGACTCTTACCTTAAGATTAAAAATCATATTTTAAAAAACACTCTGTTATATGTGGTCTGCACAGTTAACATTTGGACTTTTTTTCTTTGTTTTGTTAAGAACCATTAGAAAAAGTTTTACCACAATGATTAAATCTGAAAGTATTTAAGTTTAAATATTGGCATTCATTGGAGAACACAAGTCAGAATAATTCTCAATGAATCGCAGCCAAGCACATCTTCATGAGTAGGGTGATGTGGTGTGAGTGAGCTACTCAAAAGAGAGACAAGATCTCCCCTGCAGAAAAGCCTGGTGGCCTCTTCTATTCTGATGCAGGTGCTGTCTCTGAGACACAACAAAGTGATGATGAGAGTTCCTCACATGTAATTATAAATAGCAAATCAAGTTAGCAGTGTGATTTCAGGTCAACAGGTGCTCCACCTAAGCAATAACCTGAAAATATGATCATTCAATTATGTAACTGTATAGTGTATAATACTGTATTATAAAAATGACTTCTGGACTAATTCACAGAAATTCCAAATTACAATACCCGACTCCAGAATGTCAGTGGTTCTTAACCATCAGATTTTATTATTTATTTATTTATTTTAGTTTTTCAAAAGCTACTGGAAAACTCTGACAAACTTTAAGTGAAATATAAAGCACTGTAGAGAAACATATATGTAGATATAAAATTATCCCAACAGTGAGCAGCTTATCCTCGGAGCTCATAGTGAGGGAAGTAAACACTAATGGCTTCCAACTAAAAGAATCCTACAGAAAACCTTCCTGAAATCAACACAAGTGATTTAGTAGAACAACAATATAGAATTAAAGCTGAGTGGTGCCACTTTCCAAGAACCTATATTAGTAATTTTAGTAATATAAGAGAAGAGTCTGTGTGTAATATTTTTAACATTATCCCCTGACTACAGTGTAATAGCTCCATTTCTTTTCTCCCTTACACACATGCACACAAATACATACATATACACACATAGTTACACAAATATCCTAACAGCGTCCTCCTATCTCACATTATATATCTAATTGCAAAAAAACCTCAGTGATTGAGTCAGTTAGAAAATATTATTTACTCCATTAATTCTTTAAAATACCTGATTATCTCTATTTAGTAACTTTTACCAATTCTTTCAGTAGTGCCTGCTGTGCTGTTATTCTTTTGTGATGAAACAAATTCTTTTTCACAGGAAATGGAAGAGTTTGTACAGAGCTCTGGAGAAAACGGTGTTGTGGTGTTCACTCTGGGGTCAATGATCACTAACATGAAAGAAGAAAGGGCCAATGTAATTGCATCAGCCCTTGCCCAGATCCCACAAAAGGTAAGATGAAGTGTCTTACTGGTGTGGAAAACTACTGAAAGAGGCTGCTAAAGTTTGTAAGTAATCCAATCATAGAAATTTCTGACAAATGTGAAGTTGGCCAAAATTAAATGTGAGTATTCTATTTATATCAGTCTTTGAGTAGTTCTGATTTACTAACATCCCTTGATCTCATTCTTACTCTTTTTCTCTTTTTACAGTTTGAACATTCTATACGTTTTGAATTCCACTCATGGAATAAGATATTTTCTTTACTGTAACAGGTTCTGTGGAGATTTGATGGGAAAAAACCAGATACCTTAGGTCTCAATACTCGGCTCTATAAGTGGATACCCCAGAATGACCTTCTAGGTAAGACTCGGGTGAACAAATACTGGATATATTAGTAACAGTATATTAGAGTGTTAATAGTTAATCATGAAACAAGCTTTTTCAATATTTGTTAAGGAAAAACAAAATGTAACTTCTTTATATTTTTTTACCAGTCCAAGGGGAAAAAGAGTACGCTATAATTATTGGCATTTTATGATATACACTCACATTCTTTATGGTCAGAATCAGCGAGAATCTTTATTTCAGATGTTAATATATCTCACAGAATTTTTCAATAACTTCCTGAGCTGTCTCTCTGTCTCCTATTTCTACAACTTTACACCTGTTGTTTCCTCTCCTCCAGGGTTATTTCAAGTGCCACCAAAAATAATAGCTCTTCTATCATCAATGACTCTGTATTTTCTGAAGGATTAAATTGCTAATATTAATCATAAAGTGATGACAGGTCATGATGAAGTGTGACCTGTCCTTCCTCAATCCTAGCACCACCATCAACCCACTGCCTGCTGCCTTGCACACCCCACATATCACACTCTGTGACTGCACTTAAAATAGCAGTTCACTTCATGCCCATCTCTTTGCTGTCTTCTTTATTGTATATTTTAAAAATCTAGATCACACATTTTTGCTAGTCCAACTGGAAATCTTGTATTGTTTTGCAGTCTGAAGTCACACACACCATGCAGCCTTCATTTGCATACCCAGCACAAGTACGTGTTTTTCCTCTGAAGTCTGAAAGCAATAGCAAAATAGTTCAATGTGTCATCTAGAAAACACTGTCACTTTCAGAGCCTTTCGTTGTGTATCTCATTTTATTCCTATGAATAATTTTGCTAAAATACATGCAATCCTAGGTCATCCAAAAACCAGAGCTTTTATAACTCACGGTGGAGCCAATGGCATCTACGAGGCGATCTACCATGGGGTCCCTATGGTGGGCATTCCATTGTTTGCCGATCAACCTGATAACATTGCTCACATGAAGGCCAGAGGAGCAGCTGTTCAATTGGACTTTGACACAATGTCGAGTACAGGCTTGGCGAATGCACTGAAGACAGTAATTAATGATCCTTTGTGAGTAGAACAATATTTTTCACTAGATGGTATTTATAGATAGCTTCTCTTGTCAATAGTGAGTTTCATCCTTTTTATAAGAGAGCAATTCTGAAAGAATTTAAATGATTTAACCAGTCTGAAATCTGCTTTTATTTTGTATCAGTTATTTAAATATTGTATTTGAAAACCATACATCTAATGAATAGCCAGTAAGTGAAACAATTTTCTACACAAAAATACTTTTAAAATGATATAGAGAATATAAAAAATACATTTCTTAAAATTTTGACATAATGAATACTTAGTAGAAAGGAAGAATAAATGAAATAATATAATAAGTATTTTAATTCGATATCTAAAATGCCTCAGAACATGACTATTTTCCTGCTGAAAAATTAACTTTTATTATTATCATTACTGTAATGGACTTGAAAATGAGATTTAATTTTGATACCATAAAATCTTTCTGTTTATGGTATAAAGTCGAAATATATTTTCTATGTTTACAGAGCCATGAAGCCCTCACTATCACATAATTTTAGAACATTTTTGTCAGCACAAAAGAAACTGCAATGACACAGAAGTCATTTCCTATGACCGCTTAGCCCTAGTCTAACACTAATTTGTTTTCTTTCTCTAGAGATTGTTATCTATAGGTATTTCATATAAATGGAATCATACAGTTTACGGTGCTGTGTAAATGACATTTCACTTAGCTTAATTTTTTGTTGTTTTTTATGGTGTTAGTTTTATTCACGTTGTTGTGCATTTTAATACTTCATTTCTTTTTACAGCAGTTTAATATTTTTTAGTAAGGATATGTCATATTTTAATTGTTAACTTCTCAGGTCATTGGCCTTTTGATTATTTCCAATTGTGGTTACTAGGAATATTGCTACACAAGTTTTTGCATAAACCTGTTTTCCTTTCTTTTGGGTTGATACTACAAGTGGAGTTGCTGGCTTATGTAGGAACTGTATGTTTATGAAGAACTGCTAAACTGTCTTCCAAAGTACTTGTTTCATTCATCACTACCACCAGCAGTACAACATGGTTACAATTCCTCCATACTTTTGCCAAATGAGTTATTATCTGCCCTTTTGTTAAAGCCTTCTTAGTGGGTATAAGATGATCTCTCATCCTGGTCTCAGACTGCATTTTCATTATGGCTAAAGACGTTGAGAATCCTTATATGTGCTTGCTGATCATTCGTATCTCTTCTTTGAAAGCATGTCTACTACAATCCTTGGAACATTTTTAAACTTTGCTATTTGTCTTATTATTAAATTTTAAGAACTATTTATATATTATGGGCCATTTCAGATATATAATTTTTAAAAATTTTGTCCCATTCTGGATACACTATATTTTCCTTTTGGATGATGGTCTTTGAAGCACAAAAAATATAATTTTAAGTCAAATTTTTAATAATTGATTTTTTCACACCCAAAGATATCAATGTGCAAAATTCCTTGCAGAGTCCAGCTATCATCAATTCAGCATTTATAACTACTATCAATAATGCTTTTAAATAAGGAGGGTATCATGTAAAGGAATACTTTAAAATTACTTTATCACAAAAATAAGAAAGTTAATGAATGATAAAAATACCTTTAAAGAAGATAGAAAAAAATTGAAAAGAAACACAAACCAATTTGGACAAATAGAAAAAAAAATATATGAAGCAAACTGGTAGATTTAAATGTGATTATGCAAATACTTTCACTCAATCTAAAGAGACTTAAAAAAAGAGCAAATAATGGGTAAAGACATAAAACATTTGAAGAATACAATTAACAAATGGAATCTTATAATGTAAAGTGATACACACACATGCACATATGTACATATACAATACACATATATGTATTATATATATCAACTGGAAGACACATTTTCTTAGAGCATGTCAAATAGTTATTTGAAGTGATATGTGGTGGGAAATAACCAAAGACTTAGTAAATATAATAAGATTTAACGTCATAGAAACTGTATGATGCAGTCGTAGTGGAAGTAAGGGAGGTTATAAAAACTGTAACATATCTTTAAATTTTAGAGATCAAAAAATACACTTCAAAAAAAGGTTAAAGTCTGGAAGTGTATCACAATTATGCATCCAATTTTATCTCAGCAATTCTACTCTCAATTATATACCCAAGAGATATGTATAAATATATAAATCGAATACCATCTAGAAGAATGTTTACGACAGAGTTATCAATAGTGTCTAAAAATTGTTAGCACACAAATACATATTAATCTTAAAATGAAGAAAATATCTGTGCTTTATCAATCAACAAAATACTATACAGCAAAGAAATTATCCAACAACTGCTACATTAATAAAAGACACTAATGAATACATATTATATAATTCAATTACATAAACAAGCAAAACTAATGCATGCTATTGGAAGTCAAGCTAATACTTAATTGGAGGTCAAAACTAGTGACTAAATGGTTCAGAAAAAAGAGAGTGATTCCAGTCAGGTTGTGATATCCTATACCACAATCTGAGCAGTAGGTAAATAGATATCTTCACCTCAAAATAATGTTCAAGATGATCTTATGTTTTTGAACTATTCACTTAGTGTGCATATATTTATCTTTTGTATTTAATATTTAAATGTTTATTTTATGAGATATAATGCATTTTAAAATTCTAAGAATCAAATAGCAAAATAAGCACAGAAAATAGAGAAAATCCTAGAGGTTCCATCATAGTGTGGTCAATAAAAGCCTCTCTTAGGAATAACATTAGAAAGAAGCTATAAAAAGGCAGAAAAGCATACCTTGGGTTGTAGCAAGAGAGAATACTCCAAGAGCAGGAGAGAGGGAAAAAATGTGTAAGGTGCTATGACGAGAACACTTTTGGGAGCTTAAAGAAAAAAATAGAAGGCCAATCTAGAAGACAGTGTGCAGGGGAAAAGTGTTAGGAAAAGAGCTTGCCAGTGTCTAACAATGTAGGGTTCTGTAGACCAAATAACAGAGTTGGATTTTATTCATTAAATAATGAGAAACCAGGCAAAAGTCTTAATCAGGGGAGTGTTATAAACTGAATTAAATTGCAAAAAATCATTCTGGCTACAGGGTGGGAAACAGTAGGAGACAAAAGAGTACTGTAGAAGCATAGTGACTAGCTATGAGGCGTGTCACTCACCATGACACAATTACTTTTTAGGAACTTAGAGATGATAATTCTCATATTACATTTTCACGATCTTTCTTATAGCACTTAAAATGGTTCATGATGTTGAGCACATTCTCCATATGTCTGCTTGAGAACTAACAGTGTAATTGAATTGTTCATAATACGAAGGATAAGTGCTTCAGGAATGAATATCCTATTTTTCATGATATGACTATTTCACATTGTATTGAAACAACTCACATACCCCATAAATATATGCACTTAATATGTACCCACAAAAAATTTAAATTAAACAATTAAAAAATATTAAAATTCCTTTTATTTTCTCTGCTTCAAAAAAATTAACTTTCTCACCTCACATTCAATTTCTACTTTAGAAAACATTTGTCAGTGAGAAAAGTTCAATTTAAAAGCCAAACTTTCTATGATGACTCAAATTAAAGTACACAAATTCTATGTCAATTCTTTGACATTTACTTTGAATTATTTGGCACTTTAAAAGCCTTTCATAAACTTGATTTGCACATGCAAATTAACTTACTTTCAGTGTTAGTAAGGGAGGAGATCACTCCTCATATTGTCTTATGCCCAATTTCTGCCTCCAAAGAAAAAAGAAGTAAATACTAAAAGGCAGAAATGAAATCCACAAGCAGATAGCCCGGTGCCACTCTCTGGGCCGGGTAGTTAAAGATCGATCCGTGATCTAACGGATAATGTTATCTGTAGATTCCAGCATTTTATGGAAAAGCATTGTAAAAATCCCTGTCCTCTTCTCTTCCGTTCTGATTACTGGTGCATGCAGCCCCCAGTCATGTACCCACTGCTTGCTCAATCGATCACGACCCTCTCACGTGGACCCCTGTAGAGGTGTGAGCCCTTAAAATGGACAGGAATTGCTCACTCAGGGATCTCAGTTCTTGAGACAGGAGTCTTGCTGATACTCCCAGCTGAATAAAACCCTTCCTTCTTTAACTTGGTGTCTGAGGAGTTTTATCTATGTCTTTTCCTGCTGCATTGGTATCTTTATTTTTATCCTTCAGATATAAAGAGAATGTTATGAAATTATCAAGAATTCAACATGATCAACCAGTGAAGCCCCTGGATCGAGCAGTCTTCTGGATTGAATTTGTCATGCGCCACAAAGGAGCTAAACACCTTCGGCCTGCAGCCCATGACCTCACCTGGTTCCAGTACCACTCTTTGGATGTGATTGGGTTCCTGCTGGCCTGTGTGGCTACTGTGATATTTATCATCATGAAATGTTGTCTGTTTTGTTTCTGGAAGATTGCTAGAAAAGGAAAGAAGGGAAAAAGTGATTAGTTATATCTGAGATATGAAGCTGGAAAACCTGAGAGATGAGACTACTTCAGTTTATTTCAGGAAGAAAGATTATGATGCAAGATTTCTTTCTTCCTGTGACTAAAAAAATAAAAATAAAAATAAAAAACTTTTCAAAATTTACTTTGTCATATAAAAATTTGTTTTTTAGAGATTTACTACCTAGTGAATGGTTAGAAATATTTTGTGGAAATGAAGGAAACACTTGGGAAAACACAAAATAATGTAAATCCATATGAGCTTGTATTGAAATTTGTTGAACTTATATTGAAATTTGTTGTTCTAATTCATAGTTTACACAAAAAAAATTTACTCAGCTTAACTGTATTTCACACATTCTACATAAACACAAGAACATGAAGAATTCCACTGACAGGATCAGTGCTATTTGCATATACTCAGAATTCTGACTTCATTTCAAGCAGCATTGTATTGTTTTAACTTCTACTAAAGAAACCATTATATAGTGAAATTGTATAGAAAATCTCTCTTCCTTTTGATATTTTAAGATGAGTAGTACTTCCAGCAATGGAACAAAGCTGGATGGAGAATGACTTTGATGAGTTGAGAGAAGAAGGCTTCAGTAGATCAAACTTCTCAGAGCTAAAGGGGGAACTACATAACCAGTGCAAAGAAAGTAAAAACCTTGAAAAGAGAATAGATGAATGGATAACTAGAATAATCAATGCAGAGAAGACCTTAAAAGAACTGATAAACATGAAAGCTATAACATGAGAACTATGTGATAAATACATGAGCTTCAGTAACGAACTCGATCAACTGGAAGAAAGAGTATCAGCAATTGAAGATCAAATGAATGAAATGAAGTGAGTAGATAAGTGTAGAGAAAAAAAGAGTAAAAAGAAATGAACAAAACCTCCCAGAAATATGAGATTTTGTGAAAAGACCAAATCTACATCTGACTGATGTGCCTGAAAGTGATGGGGAATATGGAACCAAGTTGGAAAACACTGCAGGATATCATCCAGGAGAACTTCCTCAACCTAGTAAGACAGGCCAACATTCAAATTCAGGAAATACAGAGAACGCCACAAAGATACTCCTGGAGAAGAGCAACTCCAAGACACATAATTGTCAGATTCACCAAAGTTGAAATGAAGGAAAAAATGTTAAGGGCAGCCAGAGAGAAAGTACAGGGTACACACAAAAAGAAGCCCATCAGACTAATAGCAAATCTCTAGGCAGAAACTATGTAAGCCACAAGAGAGTGGGGGCCACTAGTCAACATTCTCAAAGAAAAGAATTTTCAACACAGATTTTCATATGCAGCCAAAGTAAATTTCATAAGTGAAGGATAAATAAACTCCTTTACAGACAAGCAAATGCTTAGAGATTTTGACACCACCCAGTTTGTCCTACAAGAAATCCTGAAGGAAGCACTAAACATGGAAAGGAACAACAGGTACCAGCCATTGCAAAAACATGTCAAAATATAAAGTCCATTGATGTTAGGAGGAAACTGCATCAACTAGCAAGCAAAATAACCAGCTAATATCATAATGGCAGGCCCAAGTTCACACAAACAATATTAACCTTAAGTGTAAATGGACTAAATGGTCCAATTAAAAGACACAGGTTGGCAAATTGGATAAAGAGTCAAGACCCATCAGTTTGCTGTGCTCTGGAGACCCAACTCACATGCAGACACACATAGGCTCAAAATAAAGGGATGGAGGAAGATCTACCAAGTAAATGGAAAACAAAAAAAGGCAGGGGTTGTAATCCTAGTCTCTGATAAAACAAACTTTAAACCATCAAAGATCATAAGAGACAAAGAAGGCCATTACATAATGGTAAAGGGATCAATTCAGCACAAAGAGCTAACTATCCTAAATACATATGCACCCAATACAGGAGCACCCAGATTCATAAAGCAAGTCCTTAGAGACTTACAAAGAGACTTAGACTCCCACACAACAATAATGAGAGACTTTAACACCCACTGTCAACATTAGACAGACCATAGGACAGAAAGTTAACAAGGATACCCAGGAATTGAACTCAACTCTGCACAAAGCAGACCTAACAGGCATCTATAGAACTCTCCACCCCAAATCAACAGATATACATTCTTCTCAGCACCACATCACATTTATTCAAAAATTGACCACATAGTTGGAAGTAAAGCTCCTCAGCAAATGTAAAAGAACAGAATTTATAACACAGTGTCTCTCAGACCACAATGCAATCAAACTAGAACTCAGGACTAAGAAACTCAATCAAAACCACTCAACTACATGAAAACTGAACAACCTGCTCCTGAATGACTACTGGGTACAAAACAAAATGAAGGCAGAAATAAAGATGTTCTTTGAAACCAATGAGAGCAAAGATACAATATACCAGAATCTCTGGGACACATTTAAAGCAGTGTGTGGAGGGAAATTTATAGTGCTAATTGCCCCCAAGAGAAAGCAGGAAAGATCTAAAATTGACACCCTTACATCACAATTAAAAGAACTAGAGAGCAAAAGTAAACACATTCAAAAGCTAGCAGAAGGCAAGAAATAACTAAGATCAGAGCAGAACTGAAGGAGATAGATATGCAAAAAACCCTCCAAAAAAATCAATGAATCCAGGAGCTGGTTTTTTGAAAAGATCAACAAAATTGAGAGACTATTAGCAAGACTAATAAGGAAGAAAAGAGAGAAGAATCAAATAGACAGAATAAAAAAGGATAAAGGGGTTATCACCACCGACCCCACTGAAATACAAACTGCCATCAGAGAATGCTATAAACAACTCTAAACAAATAAACTAGAAAACCTAGAAGAAATGGATAATTTCCTGGACATTTACACTCTCCCAAGACTAAACCAGGAAGAAGTTGAATCCCTGAATAGATCTATAGTAGGCTCTGAAATGGAGACAATAATTAATAGCCTACCAATCAAAAAAAGTCCAGGACCAGACAGATTCACAGCTGAATTCTACCAGCAGTACAAGCAGGAGTTGGTACCATTCCTTTTGAAACTATTCCAATCAATAGAAAAAGAGGGAATCCTCCCTAAATCATTTTACGAGGCCAACATCATCCTGATACCAAAGCCTGACAGAGATACAACAAAAAGAGAATTTTAGACCAATATCCCTGATGAACATCAATGCAAAAATCCTCAACAAAATACTGTCAAACTGAATACAGTAGCACATCAAAAAGTTTATCCACCATGATCAAGACGGCTTCATCACTGGGATGCAAGGTTAGTTCAATATACGCAAATCAATAAACATAATCCAGCATGCTAACAGAACCAAAGACAAAAAACACATGGTTATCTCAGTAGATGCAGAAAAGGCCTTTGACAAAATTCAACAGCCCTTCATGCTAAAAACTCTCAATAAATTCGGTATTGATGGAACGTATCTCAAAATAATAAGAGCTACATATGACAAACCAACAGCCCATATCGTATTTAATGGGCAAAAGCTGGAAGCCTTCCCTTTGAACATCAGTGCAAGACAAGGATGCCCTCTCTCATCACTCTTATTCAACATAGTATTGGAAGTTCTGGCTAGAACAATCAGGCAAGAAAAAGAAATAAAGGGTATTCAGTTAGGAAAAGAAGAAGTCAAATTGTCCCTGTTTGCAGATGACATGACTGTACATTTAGAACACTCCATTGTCTCAGCCCAAAATCTCCTTAAGCTAATAAGCAACTTCAGCAAAGTCTCAAGATACAAAATCAATGTGCAGAAATCACCAGCATTCTTATACACCAGTAACAGACAAACAGAGAGCCAAATCATGAATGAACGCCCATTCACAATAGTGTCAAAGAGAATAAAATACTTAGGAATCCAACTTACAAGGGATGTACCTCTTCAAGGGGAACTAGAAACCACTGCTCAGTGAAATAAAAGAAGACACAAACAAATGGAAGAACATACCACGCTCATGGATAGGAAGAATAAATATTGTGAAAATGGCCATAGAGCTCAAGGTAATTTAGAGATTCAATGCCATCCCCGTTAAGCTACCAATGACTTTCTTCATAGAATTGAAAAAAGCTGCTTTAAAGTTCATATGGAACCAAAAAAGACCCCACATTGCCAAGACAATCCTAAGCCAAAAGAACAAAGTTGGAGGCATCATGCTACCTGACTTCAAACTATACTACAAGGCTATGGTAACCAAAAGAACATGGTACTGGTACCAAAACAGATATGTAGACCAATGGAACAGAACAGAGCCCTCAGAAATAATATCACACATCTACAGCCATCTGAACTTTGACAAACCTACAAAAACAAGAAATGGGGACACGATTCTGTATTTAATAAATGGTGCTGGGAAAATTGGCTACCCATAAATAGAAAGCTGAAATTGGATCCTTTCCTTACTCCTTATAGGAAAATTAATTCAAGATGGATTAGAGACTTAAATGTTAGACCTAAATCCATAAAAACCCTAGAAGAAAACCTAGGTAATGCCAGTCAGGAAATAGGCATGGGCAAGGACTTCATGCCTAAAACAACAAAACGAATGACAACAAAAGCCAAAATTGACAAATGGAATCTAATTAAACTAAAGAGCTTCTGCACAGCAAAAGAAATTACCATCAGAATGAACAGGCAACCTACAGAATGGGAGAAATGTTTTGCAATCTTCTCATCTGACAAAGGGCTAATATCCAGAACCTACAAAGAACTCAAACAAATTTACAAGAAAAAAACAACCCCATCCAAAAGTGGGCAAAGGATATGAACAGACATTTCTCAAAAGAAGACATTCATACAGCCAACAGACACATGAAAAAATGCTCATCATCACTGGCCATCAGAGAAATGCAAATCAAAACCACAATGAGATACCATCTCACACCAGTTAGAATGACAATCTTTAAAATGTCAGAAAATATCAGATGCTGGAGTGGATGTGGAGAAATAGGAACACTTTTTCACTGTTGATGGGACTGTAAACTAGTTCAACCATTGTGGAAAACAGTGTGGCGATTCCTCAAGGATCTAGAACTAGAAATACCATTTGACCCAATCATCCCATTACTGGGTATTTATCCAAAGGATTATAAATCATGCTGCTATAACGACACATGCACATGTATGTTTATTGCATAATACATTTTCAAAAACCTTATTTC